CTCGGACTTGATATACCTGACGCCTGACTTTCTTGTTGAAAGCCTTGATCATCCGTTTTTGATACGTTTGACCATGACAAACAGCAGTAAGTCGCTTCTCGTCGATCAAATTAAGTTGGTCAAGCTGGGTCTGAATCCAATCGTCTTCACTCAAACCGGCATCCTTCATAATCCTTAAGGAAGGAATCTGAACTTCCATAGGTAAAACAACTTCCATGCCATACACCAAAGAAAATGGGGTTGCCCTTGTTGAAGTACGTGTCATGGTGCGATATCCATGCAGAGCAAACGGTAACATCTCATGCCAGTCCTTGTAGGTGACTGTCATCTTTTGAATGATCTTCTTGATATTTTTGTTCGCGGCTTCAACAACACTGTTCATCTTCGGCCGATAGGGAGATGAATTATGATGATAAATCTTGAACTGCTCGCATAGAGCGGTGATCATAGTGTTGTTCAAATTTGTACCGTTGTCCGTGATAATCCTATCGGGAACACCATACCGGCATATGAGGTTATGCTTAATGAAGCGGGCAACCACATACTTTGTAACTGAGGCATAGGAAGCTGCTTCGACCCATTTGGTAAAATAGTCAATAGCCACCAGGATGAAGTGATGTCCATTGGATGCCGTAGGCTTGACCTCTCCAATCATGTCAATGCCCCACATTGCGAATGGCCAAGGATCTGTTAGAATGTTGAGAGGAACAGGAGGAATATATACCTTGTTGGCATAGACTTGGCATTTGTGGCAGGTGTGAGAATGTTGATGACAATCAGCTTCCATAGTAGATCAGTAGTAGCCTGCCCTTAGAATCTTCTTAGCCATCGTATGTCCGCTCAAATGGGTGCCAAATGTGCCACTGTGTATCTCAGTCATGATCAACTCTGCTTCAGCTTTGTCCACACAACGAAGTAAAACACAATCATGGTTGCGCTTATAAAGAATGCCATTGCTTAGGAAGAACTTGGCAGTAAATCTCCTTAAGAACTTTTTGTCATTGACGGAAGCTCCTTCAGGGTATTCTCTAGTCTGGAGATACCTTTTGATTTCATGAAACTAGGGTTGTTCCACTACTTCTTCGGTATTAATCTCATGACAGTGCGCAGGCTCGTCCATTCGCTCGATGGTAATTTGGGGAGCCTCGTTATCCCAGTTGAGTTTAAACATGGAAGACATTGTAGCCACAACATCTGTTAGCTGATTTTCTTCTCGCGGGAAATGCTCGAAGGTAATTTGCTCAAAATGAGGCAATAATGTCAAGACGTGTTCTTTGTATGGGATAAGATTAGGATGCTTGGTGTCCCACTCTCCTTTGACTTGACTGATAACCAAAGCCGAGTCCCCAAATACGACCAAAGATTTGATTCCCAAGTCTATAGAAGCCTTGAGACCAAAGATGCAAGCTTCATATTCAGCCATGTTGTTGGTACAGCTGAAGCAAAGTCGGGCAGTGAAGGGTGTATGGCAACCTTCCGGAGAAATGAGTACCGCACCGATACCGTTGCCAAGTGCATTTTAAGCACCATCAAAATACAAGGTCCATCGAGATCCTTGTTCAGGTCCGTCATACGGTCTGTTACCTTCGATGTTGTCCAATGTCATGATGTCCTCGTCAGGGAAGTCGAATCTCATAGATTGGTAATCTTCGACGGCTTGATGAGCTAGATGGTCATCTAGTACACTCCCCTTTATAGCTTTTTGGGTAGTATACTGGATATCATACTCTGTCAGGATCATTTTCCATCTAGCGATTCTTCCAGATAAAGCAGGCTTCTCGAAGATATACTTGATCGGATCCATCTTGGAAATCAACAAAGTGGTAAGAGTCAACATATAATGCCTTAGCCGGCGAGCAGCCCATACCAAAGCGCAGCAACTTTTCTCGAGCAGTGAGTAGCGAGTCTCATAGTCGGTAAACTTTTTGCTAAGGTAATAAATGGCGTGCTCTTTTCGGCCAGACTCGTCATGTTGGCCCAGCACACACCCCATTAAGTTATCCAAAACAGTCAGATACATGATTAACGGCCTTCCTTCGATGGGTGGCATCAGAATAGGGGGTTCTAGCAAGTACTCCTTGATCTTATCAAAAGAAACTTGACAATCATTGTTCCATTCAACCACCTGATCTTCTTCAACAACTTGAAGATTGGCTCACAGGTAGATGTCAGGTGAGAGATGAACCTTGCAATATAGTTCAAGCGTCCCAAGAATCCTCTAACCTCATTTTCAGTACGGGGGGCAGGCATTTCTTGTATAGCCTTCACTTTAGTTGGATCAACCTTAATGCCTTTGTTGCTGACAATAAATACCAAAAGTTTACCAGACCTAACCCCAAAAGTGCACTTGCTTGGTTTTAGTCTGAGCTTATACTCCTTCAACCTGGAAAACAACTTTTGCAAATGATCAAGGTGTTCTTCTTCTGTCTGTGATCGGGCTATCATATCGTCTATGTAAACTTCGATCTCATGATGTATCATATCATGAAACAAAGCTACCATGGCGCGTTGATAGGTTGCCCCTGCATTCTTCAGTCCGAATGGCATCACTTTGTAGCAGAAGGTACCCCATTGCGTGACAAAAGTAGTTTTCTCCATGTCCTCGGGGGCCATTTTGATCTGGTTGTATCCCGAGAATCCATCCATGAAGGAAAATACCTTGTGTTGAGCAGTGTTGTCAACCAAGATGTCGATATGTGGCAATGGAAAATCATCTTTAGGGCTAGCCCTGTTCAAATCCCGATAGTCCACACACATTCGGACTTTGCCGTCCTTCTTAGGCACGGGCACGATGTTAGCAACTCATTGTGGATAGGAAGTAACAGCCAGAAAGCCAGCGTTGAATTGCTTCATTACCTCGGCTTTAATCTTCTCAGACATGTCAGGCCTCATTCGGCGGACCTTTTGCTTGATCGGTGGACAATCTTCTCTTGTAGGGAGACGATGAACCACGATATATGTGTCTAACCCGGGCATGGCTTCATAAGACCAGGCGAAGATTTCAACATATTCGTTCAACAACTTCACTAAGCGCTCCTTGACACTTGGTTCCAGGTTGGTACCCACTTTTACTTCTTGCCTGTCTTCCTCTGTCCCTAAGTTGATGGTTTCTAGCAACTCTTCATGAGGCAGAATGGCCCTCTCTTCTTGTTGTAGAAGTCTGGCTAATTCTCCCAGCACTTCACAGTCTTCGTCAACTTCGTACTCAGCATGATTGACCAAATCTTCAGTGTTATCAAAGGCTAAAGCAGAATAGTCACCCATGGAATCCGGAGTGGATGGGTACCTGCATTTGTGTGTGTGTGTGTGTGTAAGGTATAGCCATCCTTAAACAAAAGCAAAATGCAAAAGGAAAGAAAATGAACACAACAATTTAGATGAAGACGTCCAATGATTCATTAAAACATGGCATATGATAATGAAGAAAATAAAAACCCTTACAAATGGACCTACATGCCCCAGGCAAGGCATGAGGTGAAAATAGTGTGTGAATTGTTTTAGTTATTACAGACCATAAATGGGAAATTATTCAAAGATAAAATTACTGGTTGATAAAGGTGATGGTGTAATACCCCAAATTTGTCGTACCTTATTACTTTTATCTGACTTGTGCATTTGGTTTTCTTTGTGCTTTTAGGCTCTCATCTTTATGCAAGCTTGGATCAACATGGTTCTTCATTAATCAGGGTTTGAGGGATTAGGGTTTGTGTTTATGGTCATTGGGAATTTCCTCTTTTATCAAGATACTCATTTTCATCAAAAGACAAAGCCACCTTTTCAAGTTACTTCAGTGAGCAAACAAATTAGGGTTGTGAGTTATTAGGGTTTACATTTCATCATGGTTGAGGTTGCTAAATTCAATTAAAGATTCATTGTGCTCCAGACATCACTCTTTCTAATACTGGTTGCTTGGTGTACAAATTTGGTATGAATTAGAAGATGGAAATGAGTGAAGAATTCATTGAAGATGCAAGTGGATTTGGTGTAAATATTAGATTCCAAAGGGGTTATGTCATTACTTGGATTGCAAGACATTATGCAATGGAGGGAATAGGACTGAATCAAGTTGCTATGGATGAAGACTTTACTTACAAGGGAGTCATACATTTGAATTAGGATTCTATTATTGGTGGCACAAGGTAGTGGTGGGCCTAATACACCATGTCACTCGGGACCGATGTTTCCTCATTGATTATGAAGGTCTTTATTTTAAGTTCAAGCATGTCTACTTATGTTGCTATACATCACAAAGGGAGCATGCAGAAACAATCTTTAACGAAGCCTTGTGGAAGTCTCTTTCATTCTTACCATGGAGTGTTTGGTATTACACGAATAAGGGAATCATGATTATGCTTGGCATTTACACCATTAAAGGAGTATTCAAAGTTAAATTCCATGGAAACTATAAAAGATAATACTTTGAGCGCTTGAGAAAATTGATATTTGAATTCAAGAGATTTCGTGCTCCTAATTTCATCACACTACCGAACTGTCAGCAAAGTTCAATTTGAAAGAAAAGAAAGAAATAGGTAAAGCTTCTCCATTAGAGTCCACGTTCCATACAAGAGTTATTCAAGAAGAAGTACACAATTTAAAAGAATCTTTTATATGGGAAGGATTACAAATTTCATAATACAAATACAATTCTAAACCTATGTCGTTCATCTTCAATCTTCATGTTATTTCATCCTCAATCCTTGCTAACTTCTCAAGCTTCTAGCAATGCACATGCCCTGGACATTCTCTCCTCATTCCCTTCGCCCATACCGTAAAATCAGACCTGACTTTTATTCAAGCAAATGGGCAGCCCTGCATTTTTTTTCTCAAGAAACCAGATTACCATATCAGTTCAGAATAAACCAGAATGTAGAGGAGATAACAAAAATGGTGGGAAATCAAGAAAATAAAATTGGTTCCGTTTAAAGCCAGAAAATTCATGACAGAAAGTTGTTAACCACTGTTACATAAATTGTAGACATGTTTAAAGCATATACATAAAATCAGGATTCATAAACTATCCTATCATCCAAAACAGTTTGCACAACCCTGTTTACGTCAAACTCGTCACATTCTTCATGTTGTTCCAAGGGCAAACCTGTACCATAGCATAAACCCAAATCAAGACAGCTATGAATATGCTATGCTTCAAAACAGAACAAAAACCAATCAATAACATTCACCAACATGTTAGAGACGCAAAGAAGTTGTCAAATTTCGTTCATCAGGATATCAGTTCAAGATAGAGAGAAAAGAATTGAAGTTGGAGAATAAATTAAAAAAGAGAAGGTATGCAAAATAGAAGTGGAGACCGCGAAAGCATGTCCATGAAAATCAAAACAGAATAACCAATCCTAACTGTTTCATACCAGAATGCTAACTGTTTCCAATCCCTAACCACCTTTTCTAACCCCAACCAATTTCTAAACTTGATTCCCTAAAATTAACTCTCAACCATTTTCTACAGAAAAACAGTTTTTCATATCAGAATTTTTTTTTTGATAACTAATTCTTAACTAACAGTCCAACTAACCAACCTAACCAATTCTATAACAAACTCAACAAACTTCCTAACCAGATTCATAACTAACTTAACAAACCTGTAACCAACTTCTAAACAGCATATGCATAACAGAAAAACTTCTCCACCACCTACAACAGAACTCAAATGAAACCAAAACTTCTAACAGATTTTTTTATCCTCTAACCATAATCCCCAACGTCCTCAACAGAAACATGGTAGAAGAGAGCAGATATAAGAAAAGAGAAAACTTCCTCACCCAGAATTCAAAAACAGAATTGGAAGAGAGAACTCACCAGAAAACTTGACGACTCTCTTTCTCTCTAAAACCATTTCTTCGTTCTCCTCATCATCATCATCATCATCATCTTAATCGCTTCTGCACTTCGTCACCGTAATCACCCTCATCAATTATTCAATCTTCAAGCATCAATTCTATGTAACTAACGCATCATCATCATCTTCAACCCGAACCCGCTACAACTTCAATTCAACATCATAATCTTCTGCAATCGCAACCTTCTTCATACATCTTCATTCTCAGTGCATCTATGTAATTCTTCATCACTATGAATTCTCACAATATCCTCAACCCTCCATCAATTCGGCAACCGCCTCATCACACGCAAGCAATAATCATCCCTGCACATCCTTCATTCTCTGCAATCAGTCAACAACAACAACAACGAACGCTTGAGCGATAATTGAGACGTAATTGGAATCGAGAAAGAAGAAGAAGCAAGTGTATACTACATACCTGAGTTTGTGACGAAGGATTCTCGGTTGAGTCGAACACGAATCCGCGATGAAAATGAAGATGAAACCGAAGTAGCAAACGTTAAAATAGAAGAGTTGTAGTAGAGGTCGTACGAAGGTTGAGCCGGGACGAAGGTGAATCGGGTCAATGAAACTGGAGACGCATAGAGCGACGATGAGATGCAGTCGCGGCGGATCTAAGAATCGCATCAGAATATGGGAGGCGAGCGGAGGAAGACAACGATCGGAGATTGAAGAAGCGCCGCCGCTGAGCCGCAAGAGAAGAAGAAGGGCGTCACAATTTCTTAACCCTAGTCCTCTTTCAATTCGTAAATTTATTATTTTTAATTTTTTTTTAATTATATTCAAGGAATCAAATAACTATATGCAGTTTTTATTGTTTTGATGTTGAAAAAAACAAAAATCTTTTTGGGCTCAATCTGGGTGGGCCTTGCGCCCAGGCTGCACTGCTGACCATACTCCCTGTGCCAAATTCACACCCCTTGACTTTGTAAATTTTTTTATTCTAGTTTTTCTTCTAGTTTAATTTTCTCTCTCTTAATTGATAAAAAAATAATAATAATAAAAAAGGGTGGTAGTATATAATAGAATTTCTCTAGAATTTCTTTTTAAAATTTTAATTAGAATTTTCTATTAGTGTTTATGTTTAGTAACCATTTTCGTTTTCATCTTTATCTAAGATTTTGTGATAGAATATTGATACAATTTTTGCAATATGGAATGCTCGGGGTTAATTCTTCAATCACTCGCTCGAGGAAACTTTGGTAGAATTTTCTTATCATTTGCGTGGCGTCGAAGAGGCAATGGACCTTCTCCGTTCGGTATCGTCACAAATCTATTTTATTCTTCATTTCCGTACTTTACCATAATCCAGGTACATGCAAACATTAGGTATAATTCCCCCAAAATTCTAACTTCAGGTCTACTAACGCATAATAAAATTAGGTTTAGAAGTAGACTAGTCTCCCTGTGACTTTTCTTCTCCTTTGGCATACGCATCTAAAACAAAAACTTCTTTTTCTTTCAAAATTCAAAACACTTTAAAACTACTGATGAGAATCACGCTCTTGCTTAGTACGAGAAATGATAAGCGGGTCTCTTCTCGATCTTATTGTTCTTCATCTCAAGCATAGGTGTGGTTCAATTCTCAAAGACTCCTTTCATAGCTAAGTAGAAAAGGGGCTAATATCTCTCTCTTGAGGTCGACTAGTCATCATCTGCAACAAAATACAAACCAATTCAAATATTTTGTGCGCTCAAGCACCTTTCTTTAAAAAACCTTTTCAGGTAAGGACACGATTAATTTACTTCTGTGCCAACGCATAAGTCTCCAAAGGTCGAGTTGCGGCAGATGGCGGAATTAACTTCGTCAATAAAAAAAACACAAACAAACAAAAACATATGAGCCGAACTACGGTAGCTCTGATTCCTCAAAAAGGATACGTAGGCATTTGGGTAGGGCCCGGGAGAGCACAATTTTATTTTCCCCACATTCTTTTCCCTTCTCTTTTGCATGCATTCTCCCTTTAGCAGTAATAAACAGTAAGCATAGATTAAACACACCCATAAGATAGATAACAAGAGTGGATACCATAGAGTACTACGGGCGTGTGGGGTGCTAATACCTTCCCCTCGCGTAACAGACTCCCTTAACCGATCTCTCGGTCGCAAGACCGTGACTTCTCCCTTCTCAGGTTTTCTCGATGTTTACCTTTCCCTACATGTGGGATAAAAGACGTTCGATGGCGACTTCATTGTTTTGATGATTTTCAGACAGTTGTTTCATATGGGAATAAAATCCTTTGCTTCCCAGTTGCTTAAACCCCCTTCGACGGTCGGAAAGATCCAATCTTCAAAGTGGCTCTCTTCATCTTCATCTTCTACAGCATTGATTCCATGGTGAGAGATCTTGACGGGTGGTCTTCCAACCTTGGAGCGACGCATAGCCTTTTGTCTTGCAATAGTGAACCCTAAACCAAACTTGTCTGTCTTATGGGGAAAGTCAGGCAATTGCCCCCATATTGTACTCTTCCCTTCTTTAATCGCATCCTCTGCGTCCTTGAGAGATGCCATTCTAGATACATGCTTGGGAACGAAAGGCACCTCAACCATTGTCTTCGCAACTGCTACCTCAGGAGAAACTTCCTCAAAATGTTGGAAAGGCGTTTTGATGAACTCGCCATCCAACTCCACATAGCGGAAGGAATTGGGATGACTTATCATGTACTCTTCCTCGCTGTGCACTGTTATAATCTTACCCTTAACAGGATATTTCAGCATTTGGTGCAAAGAGGAGGTAACTGCCCCGGCATAATGGATCCACGGTCTTCCTAACAAACATGAATATGACGGACGGATGTCCATCACATAAAAGGTGGAGTTGAAAACTTTTGTGCCTACTTTGATAGGAATGTCAACCTCTCCATGAACCATTCTTTTGGAACCATCAAAAGCCCTAACAACGATGTTACTAGGTTTGAGGGTCAATCCTTCGCAGTCCAAACGGTCTAAGGCATTTTTCGGCAGCACGTTCAAGGAAGAACCATTATCAACTAAGACATGGGCGAGGGTGGTTCCCTGGCATTCAACTGAGACATGTAGCGTGTCGTTGTGTTTCCTTCCTTTGGGAGTCAAGTCGGTATCTGAAAAGCCAAGGCCATTATCAGCAGTAAGACTGGCCACACATTCCTGAAACTGGTCAGCCGAAGTCTCTTGGGGTACATGTGCCGCTTTCAAGAATTTGATTAGTGCCTTAGCATGGGCCTCAGAACAGAGCAGAAGAGCCAACATTGAAATTTTAGAAGGGGTCTGCCCTAGCTGTTCCATAACGTCGTAGTCACTTTTTCTGATTATTTTCAAGATTTCATCCATTTCTTTATGAGTGGTTTCAGGGATAACCACAACATGAGCCTTCGTCCTGATAGGCATTTCTAGTATCCCCTTACCCTTATTGGTAGTATCAACAGATGGTCTTACTTCAGGAGTATCTAATTCTTCAATCATCGGGCCTTGCACAGATGGTCCATCACGTACAGAAGCTTTCAAGGGTCCGAAAACTGCTCGAGGGGGAGCAATCTACGGAGAAAAAATCCGGCCGCTGCGGGTTATCTTGCTTGTACCCACAATGTTCCATATATCAGGGTTTTCTTCTTCAGAATTTTATTGGACTGTTTCGATTTGTTTGATACCATGGTAGAAGATTTCTCCCCCATAGTTCCATGGTATCGTTTTGCTGGATTGGTACGGGACAGGTCCCAACACGGTGATCTTTAAAGGTACACATTTAGAGTTGGGTGTAATCCTGACAGGTCTTTTGCAAGCCTTGGGAGGATTGTCGGAAATGGTTATGATTGCAATATCGTTGGTTGAAGTAGCAAAAGTAACAGGAGTAACAGGATTGAAAGTATCAACGGGGGTTTTCTGGAAAAGTATCTCTTGGGTATCCATCAGGCGTTGGACACCTGATTTCAACATGGGGCAATCAGCTTGTATGTTCAAACAAAAATAACAGTCCTTCCCGCAGCCTGGGAATATCCCGACTCTCATCAACTTCTCTTTAATCACTAATAATGGAGTCAAAAGATCGGCAACATCAGTAACATGGAGGTCTTCTATAACGGCATGAACATTATGGTTGTGCTTGGGCATCGGAGCAGATATAACATTGGGCTTCTCAGGCGCATCGAATTCTACTTCTTTGGCATCAATCAGGTCCTGGATTTTGTTCTTAAGAGCCCAACAATTATTAGTATCATGCCCAGCACTGTCAGAATGGTAAGCACATTTGGCATTGGAGTGGTAGTATGGAGAGGAGGTGTTAGGGTTCTTTGGCGCTTCCTTCAAACTGGTAAGATTCAACTTCAACAAATAAGGGAGTACCTGAGCGGGCGTCATGTTGATTCGGGTGAACTGCCATTGTGGCCTTTCTACCCGTTGTTGATTAGGTCTCGACTGATTGCTACGAGGTTGATCATTTGACGATTTTTGAATCATCACATCCCCTACAGTCGGCTGGCGCTCAGTTCTTCTCTGACCCTTCTAAGAATACACAGCAGATGCTTCCTTCTTAGCTGGGAAGGGTTTCTTAACAGCTGTGGATGCGGAAGTATCCTTTTGAATCTTTCCACTCTTAATATCGGCCTCGACCCTTTCTCCAGTCAAAATTAGTTCAGTAAATCCCGCGGAAGAACTCCCAATTAGATGATTGAAGAAGGGGCCAGACAGGGTCCCTAGAAACATGTCAACTAACTCCCTATCTGACAACGCCAGCTGCACCCTTCCAGCCAGATCACGCCACTTCTGGGCGTACTCTTTAAAACCTTCATTGGAAGCCATCCCCATACTTTGTAACTGAGTACGAGTTGGCGCCAAATCAGCATTGTATTGATATTGACGATAAAAAGCAGCTGCTAAGTCTTCCCAATTGTGATCCTCTGATCTCTCGAGCTGATAGAACCAATCCAACTGTGTGCCAGACAAACTGTCTTGGAAAAAGTGTACCCAGAGGTCTTTATCAGATGAGTGGGGTTGGATTTTTCTGACATACGATCTCAGGTACATCTTTGGGCAAGACAGACCGTCGTACTTGGCGAATGTTGGCACCTTGAACTTGGGAGGGATAACAATCCTAGCTACCAGCCCTATTTCTTCAAAATCCAAACCAGGGACCCTCTACAACTCTATGGCTGCCAATCTATCCTCAAGATTCTTATATTTATCATCCGCTGGAGGATATTGTTGTTAGGAGTAGTCTTCGTCTTCTTCCTCTTCCTCCTCTTCAACCTCAGATTCAGAAGGTACAGCAGTCCATTTCCCTTTATCGGCCCCTTCGTCAGACGTTGAGGGGAACTCAAGAACCTTTCTGGCATTTCTTTCAAACCTTCTTCCAAAAGTGGCTACTCCAGGTCTCTTTTTATTTTTCTCTTTATTCTTCTCCAACAAAGCTTTGAGGTCCTCTTGACCCTTTGCCAAGGTCATGAGGAGTTGCTGGAATTGTGAATTTTGTGCCTGCAGATCCTTTACCGTCTGCTCCAAACCCATCTTGCTGAAATAAACAGCAGAAAGATAAGGAAACCTGGTGTGAAGACCTGTTTATGCATATGATGAATGGTATGTTATTCATGTAATGCATTCAAGGATTCAGAAATTCAAATTTGTTGCAAACAAAAAGAATGCACGTCATATTAAGA